TTTAACAATACACCTCCTCTATTAAGATACTGAGTTAAATTAAATCTTAATTTAGTTAGAGGGTGTATTTTCTTGAAAATGTGAAAGACCAGAATTAAAAATTTATCAAGAACACAAAAATAAATTCTGAACGTCTGAAAAAACCTTGTAAATTGATTAAAAGTTTCTCAGTATCATTCTATCAAGTCCCAGTCATGTTGACATAACCTGGCACCTTTTTTAATTTCCTCTTTCTTGAAAAACTTAATTAAAACTCCACTTCAATAAACCTTTTTTTTCTCTATTAATAAATAATTGTTCTTCAACCTCAATCATGACATTGCTACTGTTGTACTATATATTAATAAAGAAAGAACTAATATAAACTTTCGACAAGGAATTCAAAGTTTTCTTATAAAGTACACTCCATCAGAGGCATTCGATAACTTTGGAAATGTTCCTGGAAAACTCTTATCGTTTGGAGGAAATACCGCACAAGTTTTTCCAATCGATATTTTTAGATGATTTATTTTGATTTTAATAAACCAACATTACTTTGAAGCTTTAACTTGAACTAGTTGCTTCATAATATTGATTTCCTTTATCAGCATCTCAGAAATGAGGTTTTTCTTCAAATACTCCAGCTCCTGTTCCTTCAGCGGTCTTTGACCCGTCTGTATACCACGTTGCTGAGGCTGAGCATTGCTCCAGTGTACAACCAGTGCACCATCTGTGGTCTGAGGTCCCAGATTTTTCCATGATACTGTTCTTACTTAAATCAAGAATGAGAAATTTCTTGTTTTAGGATGTTTCCATCCATAATTTTTTCAAAAAAAAAAATGTTTAAAAATTACATTTTCAGCAATAAAGTTTAACGTTCCCTCTATCTAAAATACAAATTTTGAACAGTGTTCCTTACTCTGCAAGTAGATTTAATTCCTCGTATGTGTTTCAGGCTCTTTGATCTCCAACATGCGCTTTCATTTTACTCCGGATTAACAGAAAGTTTTCTGTATTGCTTCGGGAAAACGTAATTTAATTTATTCATGAAGAAAATAGCGGATAAGGCTTTGCTCTGAGTCGATTTCCTCGATTTTCTATGGCCCGATCTTAATATTCATCTTTTATAGGTTGCATTTTCTTTTATTTATATGCTACACTGAAAAAAAATTCGAAAAATAAAGATTTACTTTGATTTTTGAGGTAGCTATCGTTCAGCGGCGTAACGTAGGGTCAATACAAGCGGTTAAAGGTTTTAATCTTTTTTTATTAAAGTCTTTAATTTTGAAGTTACAAAAATTATTTTTTTTCCATAGCAACTGTTAAAATTGCCTTATATCTATCAAAAATAGTAGATAAAATAGTACTTTAGTAGATTAAATGATACTTTAACAGCGAGGATAGGTTAAAAGCTTTATTTCTTCTCGCACGTTTTTTAATTGCTTCCATTTTTGAAAATTTTTGTATTTCTTTTCATAAGTTATTCAGGATTTAAATAGAAGTAGTTTGGATATGGCGTTTGTCGCCTCAGCCTGAATATCTGTTGTTAATTTACTTATTTCGTTTTGAGCCATTTCTGGTTCCAATTCAATCAGCAATCGACACGAAAGAGAATTAAAAAATATTGACTCAAAACTGACAACTAAAGAAGACAGTGTCCTGTAGCTTAATTTATTTGTCAAATTACATAGAAACCAACGCTAACCCAGCACAATATTTTTTCTACTTGTAATAAATTCCTTGAAATAATAATTTCTCAATATTTTTTAAAACGTAACTCGCTATGGAAAAGAATATTGTTTTATACACGACGATAAAATTGCATTATCGTCTCCCGAAATTAATTCATACGATAAAATACCATTTTACCGTCTTGTATAAAAAATAACTATTACGTATTACGTATTTACGTAATTTAAGTATTGTGTTTTTTCAGTGTATATTTCCTTTTTTAACTGAGTTTCCTCGATATGGAAAACTGCAGGTAAAAGATACTTTCCGTAAGTTTTATCAAGTGGAAAGTTATCGAATTTTCTCTTAAATTTAAAATCACAGAAATAGAAAAACTTAAAATACCTACCAAGTCAAAGAAGCAATGGATACTTAAAAGAATTTATAATTAGGCGTATGTATATGTATATGTTTATTTATTATTACGTATATTTTGTGTTTTATTTTGGACCGATTTAGTTTAAAAAAACTCGTTTATGTTTTTTAGTGCCAGTTAACAATTTGAACTTGTTTACCTATGCTGACTAAAGTTGCTTTTGCATTTTAGGCATTGATAGATAGATATAAAAAACCGTTGACGTCCTGTTAAAATGGCATTTTATTCTTTTCAAGAAATGAAACCTCTACAAAGACATAATTACTGTTTGTGTCCTCTATGAAGTCAGATCAACTCAGTAGAAGATCAACTCAAGAATGCCTAGAGAAGGTCAACAAATTTGGCCAATGGGAAAACATCAGAACACCTGGTACACTACACTGGTATCGGAGGTGGAAAACTAACCTCTGTAAAACCGTCTCACATACTGGCTTTTTATCAAAGCCCTGAGACTGTACGACGAGTAATAATTCACCAGAATAATTTTAACCAGCATGATATGTCAATAAAACAAAGTGACTGACTTTTATTACTGCAAAAGAAGCAAACGACGCTTGAATACCAAACCCGGAAGCTATTATATCAAAAATGCCACAGTTAGACTACAAGAAACACTCCATGCTCATTCATTAACTCGATTTTTAACCGGGAAAGACATAAAACTGGCATTTAACCCCTTTTATTACAGCAGTTCTATAAATCAGCTTTATGCGAACTTGAATTTATTATTTATGCTACTCGTGATCTCAATCTAGGTCATCCCCTGCAACTGTCATTAAAGCCGCGTCTATACGTGACGGTTTACCTGTCAGTCTTACCCGCTCAGTCAAAACGTATCAAGTAATACCAAGATTTAAGTAAATTCGATCAAGAAAATAATGAATTCCTATACAAATTTTGCCTCTATTTTTTACTCGCTATACAGGTTGGTCCAAATTGTATTCTGGAAACTTTGGCAGCATATTATTTCGATTGTTTCTAAATAATTTATGAACTTACGTCGATATTTCGCTGAAAATTAGTTTCTGGAAGTTTTTTGACATGACAAGTTTGATTTTGATGTCAATATGACTCCTACTTGTAGAGGGCGCCATCTACAATTTGTTTAACAGGTTTGAAGAGTAATAACTTTTCGTCCGTACCTGTATAAAACTACTAAGTAAAAAAATATACAATTACGACGTTTTTTAAGTAAAAAAGGTCTCTTGGTAAAAATCGCTACGAGTAATGTTTCTCGAGATATTTAGAATGGAAATAGTCAATACACGTCATTATTGACGAAAAATAAACACGTTGACTAAATAGTTATTAGACTGAAATCATAAATTTGAAACGTTTTTGTGCTTAAAGTTCAACAGAAAGTAAAATTTATGATTAATTTTAAAAAATAAAATGTTCCTAAATTTATCATTTCAGTCAAGGGTCCGTACCCGATAAGTTATCACTCTTCAAAATAATTAAAAAACATGTAGGTGGCGCTCTCTATGAGTAGGACACATATTGACATAGAAATTAAATTTCCCATGTCAAAAAACACCCAGACACAAATTTTCATCCAAATATCGACAATAGTTCAAACATTATTTGGAAAAAACCGAAATAATAATGAAACTTTGACACTTTGACGAAGTTTCACGAATACAGTTCGGACCACCCTGTATATTTGGTCAACTGCCATATAAAACAAGCTTTCAGGCAGTGAAAACAGCATCAAAATCTGTTCATTGGCTTTCCAGTCATTCTCCGATATACGAAGAAACACAATTTTTTATCAATAATTAATTTTTTAAATGTAGCTCATCGATAGTCGATTACGTACATTAGTTTTTTGAGATCTGTACGATCTCCAGACTTTCTATTGATTATAATACCGAACTATAAAAAAGCAGCGTCAAACATGGCTTTAAAATAAAGATCGTAGTCTTTTTGTATGTAAAAATTATTTCCAATCCAACTGCAACCTCTTTTTTTCGATCATACGGTATATATTGTATTTTCCTATAAGAATTTCTAAAGTGGCATTATACAAAAGCTTGTTTTATTATAAAAAAAAATCTTCTTGATTATAATGTATTATTGCTGAATTGTTAGAAGGAAAAGACACGAAATACAATAAAAACAAAGCAGGAAGTGAATAAAGAATAGATTAAGATTAAAATCAACAAAACTGGGAAACTTAGCAACCTGAAACAACAGAAGTTGAATAATTCTTCTTTGAAATTCTTAGGTTTAATCTTCTTTTTTATTCCCAAGGCCCCCAGTAAAAGCCTGTTATTTGATTTTAAGTATTTATATCTTCTTTTATAGTGCTGAGTAGTGTTAGTTTTATTTAAATTAATTTTCTTTGTTTAATATTTATTAAAACACTAATACTAATTCAACGTTTTATCTGTACAGTTAAAATGTATCAAAGGTGTAGACAAAAAAACCGGCCATTTTAAAATTCCAAACACACGTGCTTTGATTAAGGCTTGATTAAGGTTTGCAGAACTTCAGCATTTGCCATAAAATAGCGAGTAATTTGTTACAAAACCATATAAATTATACATCACTGTAATCACAAAACTTCAATCTATTTTCGTACTGTAACGAAATTTTAAATTATGTTTTTATTTTCGAGAAAATTTAGTCCAAACTTAAGGAATATTTTGTTGATGTTTGTCCATCAAAATCTTAAAAATAAAGAAGTTATCTAAAAATGTGCTACAATACGGATATAATATAATCCTTTATCTTTAATTTTTTCCTTCATTTGTGAAAAAATACCTGGCCAGTTTTACATAAAACATTAAATGCCGAACGCTTATTATTTTGCTACTTTTTCGGACTAATAAAATATGGACTCTTAAGGGTAAAATTGTCCAGTGGGGACGCTAGAATTGCTTAGTATGTATAAAACATATTGCTTTCTTACCTGGTAAATATCGGTTGAGAGCAACTATACCACAGGGTAACATTATTACTGACATGGTAATAATATTTAGTTGAAACAAGGTGTGACTTGAAGGTGACGTATTGAAACTTGACACTAGATCCAGTGATGACATGACTACGATTTGATTAGAGTATCTCTGAAGTTATTTCTGGTTTTTCCTTTAAACTTGTGTTGAAAGAAACATTTAAAAGTTGTCTTGCTTTAAGAGTTCATGTAGATTTCTGAAAAGAAGGAAATATATAACTGTTATTAACTCTAGTAATTAAGAGTTTTAAATATAAACACACCGGAAAAATCAATGTTTTGAATAAACAACCACATATTTGTAGGCCGATTCTTTCTACTTCGATTGAAACGAAGTAGTCACACTAGTTATTTCTAAATTTGGAATATTTGCAGAAGTGTTTGTGCATTTTTTGCCAAATGTATAAAAAGCATCTAGCATCAATTGTTCGAATTTAGCATGTACTGGCTATGTTTTTGACTAGATAGTGTTTGATATGTGGAATTCATAAATAAGGTCTGTTTAGTATTAAACGACATTATGGAGCGTAGACATCTTAACAGAGACGAAATGCTAAGGACCATGGGTATGCTCGAAGCTGGAATGCGCCAAATCAACGTAGCCAGAGCATTAAATACAACTCAAGGTGTAATATCGCGATTAAGTGCACGCTACCGTGAAAGTGGAGATGTTGCTGAAAGGCACACAGGGCGACATCGCATTACTACCCCTCAGCAAGATCATTTTTTACAATTAAATGCTCGACGCCGACCAACTCTTACAGCACCAGAGCTTAGTTTAATTCTCCAGGAAACACATAATGTAACCGTTAGTCCTGACACTCTTCGCAATAGATTAAGAGAGGTCAACTTAAGAAGCAGACGCCCACTTAAGAAGCAGAGCTCAAACCTGAACGAGAGGAAATCGAGAGGTACGATATTTGTGGGCTCAAGATCATGTTCAGTGGTCAAATGAACAATGGGCCAATGTTCTTTTCATGGATGAGTCACGCTTTGGAATTCATCCGGATTCGAGAAGGCTTAGGGTATGGAGAGAACCGGGAAATCTTATTCGGTTGGATCATGTTCAGGAAATGCACCCTTATCAAGGTGGAACAGTTATGGTCTGGGGAGGAGTCCAGTTAGGCCGAAAAATCGATCTCGTTTTTCTTGAAAGGTTTCTAACAGGAATCACATATCGTGATTTAATTCTTGAGCCTGTCGTGTTACCATATGCCAATTATTTTGGGAGAAACTTCATGCTCATGCATGACAATGCACAGCCTCATACAGCCAGAGTGGTAAGTGAGTTCATCAATGCTCATCAATTAAACATCTTACCCTGGCCGGCACAATCTCCTGACCTCAACCCCATCGAACACGTATGGGACGCGGTCCAAAGAAGAATTTTGAGAATGGCTATGCCTCGTGAAACTCGTAGGGATCTGGTTCGGGCCGCGAATGCAGCGTGGCAGGCTGTACCTCAAGAAGAGTTCGACAACCTGATCAGGAGCATGGAGAGACGATGTAGGGTCTATTTAAAAAAAAGTACAAATTATACATTGTTATTTTTTTTTCGTTGGACATTCTAAACACTAGTAAAAATGACTAGAAAGTGTTTGATATGTGGAAGTTCTAATATAAAGGTCTCCGAATTATTCTTTTATAGGCAAGTAAAGTATTCAGTTGTTCTTTTATTTATATTAAACCACATGCATACTTTCTGGTTAGATTTCCTAAGAATATTGATATTCGTACGGAGCGGCTAAATGTATTTTTTATATAATTTAATTTTTGTGACACTAAACATTCAATTTATTGTTCAAATATATGTATTATACAAATTAAATTTTTAAAATTAATGTTCAAATTTGGCGCGCGAACGATAGGTCCTCCACAAGGATAGATAGAATAGAAGCACCACGTTTGCAACAAAGAAAAAAGATAAATGGAAGTCGTTGATATGTTTGCGACAGTTTCCATAGTGATTTACTTATCCACGTAAGTATATATGATCTAGGGTTAACAAGTACACTCCTCAAAATGTATTTTTTTTATCAAACTAATAGTTTATAAATACAACAGGAATTAATGTTTCTGTGAAGTAGTTAAAATTGATTCATTTAATTACTTTTAAGTATAGTTTAATTCAGACGATAGCTTCAAAGTTTGAACCCGCGAGCTGTTACAGGTTTCTACACTCAATTCTTAAAAGCCGGCTCCAGTGGAAGAGCTCCGAACTGCTCTAACACCTGTTAGATGTCGAACAAGGGCTTTAAAGCTTCCCCGAGGGCGACTTGGGAACTTTCGGTGCCATTTTAACTCTCAAATCCTGCGGAGAAAGAGACTAGACTGTGTAAAGTGGAAAAAAATACCCCAAAATGTCAAATAAATTATTGTTATAATATTATATGACATCTTAACAAGTTAATTTTTGTAATAAATAACCACATGTCTCCTTTTTATGTCTCAATGACTGTGGTAATTACTAAATTTGACGTTTAGGCTATACATATACAGGGTAAACCGAACTGTATTCCGGAAATATCGGCAGCATATTCTGCAGCTAAAAATAAGTAAAAAAAGATACAGGGTGTAGAAGTTTCATTTTTATTTTGATTTTTTCCAAATAATTTCTGAAGTAACGTCAATATTTGGATGAAAATTGGTGTCTAGGAGCTTTTTGACATGAGAAATTTGATTTTGATGTCCATATGACTCCTACTTGTAGAGGGCACCACCTACATATTTTTAACTGGTTTGAAGAGTAATAACTTTTCGTCCATACTTGTATAAAGCTGTTGAGTAAAAAAATATACGTTTACGATGTGTTTTACGTAAAAAAGGTCTCTTGGTGAAAATCGCTACGAGTAATGGTTCTCGAGATATTTGGAATCGAAATTATCAATACCTGTCATCATCGACATAAATTAAACATATTGACTAAATAGTTATTAGACTGAAATCATAAACTTTTTTACTTATTTTTAGGTGCAGAATATGATGCCGAAGTTTCCAGAGTACAGTTAGGACCACCCTGCTTCCCCTAGGAGATGCAAGACCTTGTCGTTGGTTGGCTTGGCTTGGTCTAAGAAGCATCTCACTCATCATCTTGTCCCTGACTGTATCTCACTCATCATCTTGTCCCTTACTGTAGTGTCGTAGCCAGGGAATTGCACCAAGACATATAACGATACCGGGCGGGGCTACGGACAGCCTCAACCTTGGGGCATCGGGGGGCACCCCATTGTATTTTACCCCTTACTTCTACATGCGGGGCTCTGTAGAAGTGGACCGACCGGCCCTAGCGACTCATGGGAACACTATGAGATCTGGTAATAATAGTAATAAAAACATCACCGGTGAAGCTGTGGGGAAACCCTCTAGCAACACTGGGAACAGTAACAATGAAAGTTCCAAGGGGTCAAACCCAAAGAGAACTACAGGAGAGGTGGCTGACACTTGCGTGAGACCATCCTCCGCAAGTGGCATACAAGTTACCACCTCCTCCAAGGGTCGGGAGCCTACCTCCTACCTCTAAACCCAACAGGCGACACAAGCTACCGTTTCGTCTACCCGGCCTGGGTCGTAGCTCCTCGACTGTGAAGGACACGGGTCTCCGTAGGAAGTCCTGGGACTGTATGATGAGTTATAACTCAAGAAAGGGGGACACAATAGATATCTAAGGTCGCAGAGATTAACCCCCCCTCCTACTTATTCTAAGGACCACCCTGTATAGTCAAAAATTGGCAGATAGTATAGACAGTAGAGGGACAAAAGAAAAAATGTAATGGTCTCGCTTAGGGTTTGATGATGGTCATTAGAGGCCAAGTAATAATTAGAGCTGGGCGTTAACACAAACTTAAACAGCGGCAAAGACGATTATGGGACGGCGCGAGTACTCCAAAACTTTAAGTTAATTAAGGTTCTTAGATAACATTATTGCCCAATTTACAGTTCAGTTTGCACCATTAAACCAAGTTATGGCTTTTTAAGCAATTGCAATTTTCGAAAAATTGTTTAGTATTAATTTTGCGGAGGAGTACTATTACGCCCAATAAAAAAATGGCAAAATCAAGTAAAAAGTGCGGTAGAAAATAGCTTTAACTCAGGGCAGTATAGTTTAATTTAACCAAGAAGTAATAGCTCGAACCAATAAATAAAATAATAAACTAGGCAAAGAAAATAAAATCCTTCTACTCTGGAGGACTTCACCAAGAAACGAAAAAGCAAACAATCTCTTTAGAAAGGGAGTGAACACTTCCAAAACTTGACTATTCTCGAGCTTATTTCGTTGTCCACTTTACCGGATTTATCGAAAGTAACGCCTAGGTATTTGTATTCGTTACATATTTGTATGTATTCGTTATCCAGTTTTATTGCTGCTTGATCCGATCCAAAGCAGAGATATTTAGTTTTTGTGATATTCATCTCCAGTTCCCAAACTTGGTATTCCTCTTTAAGTGGTCGTCAGCGAATTGTCAAGTGTATAAGCAAGAATCTTCACTTTTTGGTACGTCGATGCCTCTCCATTTGCTTTTCCACTGCTTTAAAACTTGGTTGGCGTATATTTTGAATAAAGTTGGTGACAGGCAATATACTTGTCTTAATCCTTTTGATATTTTGTTTCCAGTTTTATTGAGGAACAAGAATTTATATATATATCTAGATGGAGAACTAATTCATATAAAACCGTATCTACCTCATTTTTGTTGAAATCTTTCATATTGAAGCTTTCAAAAAAAAAAAATAGAAAAATTATTCAAAATAATTTATATACAAAACACATCCTCGAAGGGGAAGCAATTGTAAAAACTCACAGGCAAACATTAAAGGCAGCACAAACAAAACGGTCGACTCTATGTTTGTATGGATCCGGGATACCTATACGCTTCCACAGGATAGAAAGGGACGAATAGACAGAGAGACAAACAATAACAAATAGGGATTTTGTTGTTTCAGTATAATTGAACGGTTCCGAATGGAACTCGTGCGTAAACGACGTGCAGGGAGACGTTTAACCATAATAATAATTGTTTTCGGGAAAACAATGGCGTTTCAGTTCATTCGCATCACATTTTGCATCGCACAACAATCAAAAATTTGCATAGAGTACCATTAAATATTAGTATTATAATAAAATACGCTTTTAGATGTTTCAAAATATGAAAAAAGGTAGAGCTGCTATAACAACGTTGAATTTTTTAAGAAAAATTTACATTATTTTCATAAATTTACACTTTTCTTGTAAATTTAATTTTTTTTTGTAAATTTACATTTTTTCTGTAAATTTACATTTTTTTCTGTAAATTTACACATTTTCTGTAAATTTACACTTTTTTTTTGTAAGTTTACGGATTTTCTGTAAACTTATAGTTTTTCTGTATAATTTACACTTTTTCTGTAAATTTACACTTTGTATGTAAATTTACAGTCTTTCTGTAAATATACAGCTTTTCTGTAAACTTACACTTTTTTGTAAACTTACAGTTTTTCTGTATAATTTACATTTTTCTGTAAATTTACAATTCTTTTGTAAATTTACGGCTTTTCTGTAAACTTACACTTTTTTTGTAAACTTACAGTTTTTCTGTATAATTTACATTCTTCTGTAAATTTACACTTTTCCTGTAAATTTACACATTTTCTCTAAATTAACACTTTTTCTCTAAATTTAGGTTTTTCTGTAAATTTACACTTTTCCTGTAAACTTGCAGTTTTTCTGTAAATTTACACTTTTCCTGTAAATTTACACATTTTCTCTAAATTAACACTTTTTTCACTAAATTTAGATTTTTCTGTAAATTTACACTTTTCCTGTAAACTTGCAGTTTTTCTGTAAACTTACACTTTTTTGTAAACTTACAGTTTTTCTGTATAATTTACATTTTTCTATAAATTTACAATCCTTTTGTAAATTTAGGGCTTTTTGTAAAATTACACTTTTTTTGGAAACTTACAGTTTTTCTGTATAATTTACATTCTTCTGTAAATTTACACTTTTCCTGTAAATTTACTTACATTCTTCTGTAAATTTACACTTTTCCTGTAAATTTACACATTTTCTCTAAATTAACACTTTTTCTCTAAATTTAGGTTTTTCTGTAAATTTACACTTTTCCTGTAAACTTGCAGTTTTTCTGTAAATTTACACTTTTCCTGTAAATTTACACATTTTCTCTAAATTAACACTTTTTCTCTAAACTTAGGTTTTTCTGTAAATTTACAGATTTTCTGAGTTACGTACATGTTTTTTGAGAATTTTGTACATCCAACGATATCTAAATAATAATATTATATGTACTTAATAAATTAATATAATTTTGGATTCTATTTTATTAAGATTTTTTCATATTTTTTTGGTTCAATTAAAAATATGTATAATTCAAAAGTCGTTAACTGCTATTGTCTTTGTAATTGACATATTTAAAAATTTTCTTTTGTTTTTTATTTATCATATAATCACAAAATCAAATCATAATCATTAAATAAATAAGGGAACACTTATATCCATTGTTGATGGCGATTTCTGTAATAATATTAATCTTTTTTTGAAAATTCTATGGGCTCAGTGGAGATATTAATAATCTTTGAATTAAACTATGGAAAAAAGGAGACATTTTAATTTGCCTATTACTGCATAAAGCCTAATGTAAAAATATTTAAACGTCATTCAAACGTCACAAAAGTGTTAATTCTTGCGACGTGATTGACAATATAAAAAAGTCATTTTAACGTCTAGGCATAAAAATAAGCACAAAAGTACGAAAATATATTATTAAATTGACATAAAATGTCAAATATATATACAGGTATATACAAGGTAAAACTTTTAAATCTTTTTATATTATTTGGAACGTTTGAAATTGTGTAATAATTATTTGTGGCGTTTAGAAAAATAAATTGCATGTTCTATTCGAGGTAAAAATGCTTTTTGTGCCTCAACTATATGACAAACTTACACCCTCGCAACAAGAAGTGTCATTTTTACTTCTAATAAAACAATATACTATTGTATAATGTCAAATCATGTTACAATAATGAATACTTTTGTGACGTTTGCAAAAATATATTTTTTTACCTTATTTCTAATTCATATCTCCACCTTAGAACAGTTACTTACAAAACCAACCGAAACAATATCAGAACTAAAACCAACCGTCCCGATATTCCAACTTAATCCAGATCCAACCGCGGTAAAACTGGAGAAATAAACTTATCAGACTGTCCAGAACGGCGTCCCGGTGTTCATCCAGAGCTCCGGGCGTCCGATAGTCTGGCGCCATTTCTGGAAACGATTCCTGGAAAACGCGCTTGCGATATCGATATGGCTATTATTCCAGACCGTTTGTTTAAATAATAAAAGATTGAAGGGTTATATAGTATTTTATGATGTTGTTTTGCATTTATGGTATGGCAAAAGCAGGTTAAATCGGTGCTACAAAAATTTTCTACTTATTCTGGAAACTTCTTGTCTTGTAATAATTGATTATTTAGGTTTTGTAAAACTCAAATTTTATTATTAAAATATTTATTTATACTCATGCAATTGATCGTATCAGTTGTAGTATTCAATTTTATTTATAAAAAATGTAAATAGTAGATATAATCTTCGAGAGGAATGTGCTAAGTGGTGTGATGTAGTATCCTATCAACATATTTTTGTAATGAATAATAAAGGTATTCAATGTTCAATAAGGATGTAGAAATATTTATAAACCATTTTAAGAAAAAAAATGTCTGATATATGAATATATAAAATCCTTAAGTGACTGACATACTGATTAATCACGATCCTGCTCCAATCACTCAACGTAAGAAGCTCAATTTTGGCATACAGATTGATTCTAGGGTGTAGAGGTTTGATAAGAAGGGATTTTTCGAAATTCCAGTTCCAAAAGGGTGAAACTGGTAAAACCCTCAAATATTACAATATTTTTTATTTAAAAAACGGTCAAGTTTCCGAAAAAACGCTTAAACACGTATATTTTATTTTGTTTTTTTACATATTTTAAGATTTTTTAAAAATTTATACAGTGTGTTTCGAAAAATCTGGTCATTGATTAATCACGATCCTGCTTAAAGCGCTTGACGTAAAAATCTGATTTTTGGAAAACAGATTGTCTTTAGGGTGTAGAGGTTCGATAAAAAAGGATTTTTCGAAACATCTAGAAATAATAAGAAAAAACAGCAAATTGGTCGAATTTATCCTTAATTATCATTTACTCTGATAAATGCTTAAATAAACTTTTCAAATTTCAATCCTTCATATTTTCTCAATGACTCGACCGATTTTCAAAAACGAAGCGGGGAAATATAGAGAATAGAAAGCTCTTTTCATTGCGGCGCCACTTGACCCCCTTTCCATTTGAAAAAGTTGGGGATGACACCCCGCTTAGAGGGTTGAATATTTTGCAATTATTTTTGGGGCAAAAGTTGACCCCCTCACAAACAAAATTGACGTGTTTTTGGATTTTTTGAAAAAATAAATACCCTGGCCGTGATGCCTTGCGCAACGTTTTCGATGGGCCACCCTGTATGTAAGATATCATACTAGTACCTTAAAGTATTTTTTTTTCAATAAGGTTAAAGGCTGATTCATGGTACACCGGGACGGGCCGGGGCCGTGCGACGGTGAAGGCACGGCCAATAAACCAATAAAACTGGTTAAAAACAACAAGTGACGACGCATGACGAATTTATATTTAAACCCATCCATAGTTAACTTAAAAATTATTAGAAACTTTTTTTAGTAAAATAAATAGATTGGTATGGGACGTCATCTGCTTTTTTTCTGTCATCGTCTGTCGAAATCTTACCTGAGAAAAAAAACAGAGTATAGTAACTTTCAATCAAACTTTATTCTAAATTCTGTAAACAATTTAAGAGCACGTTAAGGAAACGTCTTTCATCCCTTAAAACAGGCTAAAGCAATTAGGAACTCTCGAGTTTGCTAGCAGACGAAATTGGCACTTGAGATAAATAGAGATGCTCGAGCATCTTTTTTCGTGGAAACTGCAGAAAACCTAAGAAAATCGATCAATCAGTCGCCACGATATTTTTTCTCTCTCTCCTAAATGTCTTTTTTTTAGTTAGCCTTAACCCTAGGTTAATATTAGACTAGAATTTGTACAAAAATTCGTTACGATATGTTTTGCACACCGAAAGCATCCCTTATTGGTGTTTTTAATATACAGGGTGGTCCTAACTGTATTCCGGAAACTTCGGCGGCATGTTTTATTGATAAAAATAAGTAAAAAAGTTCGTATGAATGTATGTCCTAAAATTCTTAGTTGTAGAGATACAGGGTGTAGAATTTTTATTTTTATTTCAAATTTTTCCAAATAATTTCTGAAGTAACGTCAATATTTAGATGAAAATTGATGTCTGGTAGTTTTTTGACATGAGAAATTTGATTTTGATATCAATATCACTCCTATTTGTAGGGGGCGCCACCTATATTTGTTTTAACTGTTTTGAAGAGTAATAACTTTTCGTCCGTACCTGTATAAAAGTACTGAGTGAAAAAAATACATTTCCGTGACTTTTTACGTAAAAAATGTCCCTTGGTAAAAATCCCTACGTAACATTAAGGGTAGTAGATGTTCGTGTTTTTTTGTTCAGCTAATAGTAGAAATCAAGTAAAGGTATATTTTACGATAAAATATAAAAAAATGCCTTTTAGAGAGTGTTCTATTCTCTGTGTCACTTATACAGGGTGAGTCTTAAGTAAGTGCAAATATTTTCAGAGCTGGTAGATCTCGATAAAAGAAACATATTTTTTCTTTACCATTATTTTCGTCCCTACCTCTATAAAACTGCTGAGTGATAAAATATACATTTCCGTAATTTTCTACGTAAAAAATGTCTCTTGGTAAAAATAGCTAGGAGCAACGGTTCTCAAGATGTTTCGAATTGAAATTATCAATACCTGTCATCATTGACTAAAAATAAACATGTTGAGTACAGATGAGAAATTTGGGAACTTTCTATTTTTTTAAACTAATGATAAATTTTTCTTAGTAGTTTTATATAGGTACGGACGAAAAGTTATTATCCACTCTTTAAACCAGTTAAAAAAATGTAGGTACGTCCTCTACAAGTAGGAGTTACATTGACATCAAAATCAAATTTCTCATGTAAAAAAACTCCCAGACACCAAAAAATTAATCGGAACCAATTTATTCGGAAAAAATCAAAATAAAAATGAAATCTCTACGCCCAGTATCTCCGAAACTAAGCACTTCAGGACATACATTTATACAAACTTTTTTACATATTTTTATCTGTAGAATATGCTGCCGAAGTTTCCGGAATATAGTTCGGACCACCCTGTATAAAGCTCACCATCGATGTTTTCTTTATTTTTTCACCTATATATTCACACAACCCTCCGCACAGCAACAAAAACAATACAGGGTGCATAATTAATCTTATTTGTTTTTCCATTCCGATGAGATCTTACGAGAATATGCTTTTAACGAAAATTGTACCATCAATCAGAGAGGTTGAGTTGTTAATTACCCACGCAGGGCAGCAGGCGCAGGGGATTGAGTGCTATTAAAAAAGAAAAGTGGTTGTTTTTCTATTAACTAAAACAAAAACAGCTGAATTTTAATTCGTCTTGCGCTCAGCGGAATTTTTTAAAGACTATACAGCCATCGCACAGTGCTTCGGACATATGGCTCTAGAGGACAAAAATGCAAAACTTCTCTTTTATTGTAGGTAATTTATACAAACTAGGTTTATTTGACACAAATGATGAGTACTCTCATTGTACTAAATGATGATGTTCTTAGTCCCACGTTTATAAAAAAAATCTTATAAATAATAAAAATGTTGGAGCTGTGTTCCATCTAAGGAAATAATAATTTATAGTATGAAAACGGTGTAAGTATTAAATAAATCCCTGTGATCCAGTGACGTACCGTGACTTTGAATTTTGAGACCAAAAACTGACAAATAAAAAATTTGTCAAAAAAATCATATTACAGCTATGTTTTATTTTGCCTAAAAATGTTAACTAATAAGTTAGAATAATTATATTTCTTCCCTAACTAAGTGGTTTTATCGCTAAATTTATCTGAAGCTAGGTACAACACAAATCTTAAATACGTGGACTATTATAACAACAAATACATCGTAAAAGACTATTTTTGTAGCATTCTGAACGAGGATTCAAGTTAAACTTTTTAGAAAATAATTTAAAGGAAAAATGAACCTGCTCGATGGATGCTTGTTCTGAGTAAAATCCTAGAGCTCTATGATTTGCTTTTATAAACTCTGGCACATGATGCAGAATTGCATGAATCTTTGGAGTTATCTTAATACCTAAGTTGAGTATTTCCAATCTAAATTGTTCGATGTCATGTTCAAAATGTTTGTTTAGTGCTTGACCAAAACAACTCGAAACTACTTGATTAAATGCAGAAAACACTGCAATATATTTATTCCAAAAAAAAGATTTTTAGGTTTTTGCTTCTAAAAACTTTGAATATGATTCTTTACCGGGCGATATCGTCTTCAAAATATCCACTTTCTTTAAAAGTTATCTGGCGTTATTTCCGTTACATTTTCCATAATGATCTAGTTTCAATCCCGCTTTTTTTTATCCATTCTGTTGCAACATTGGTATTCTCCAATTCAAGACAATCAAATAGTTTTTGAACCACACCTAACAAAAGGTGAAGCTCAGGAGGGGGAATATACTTTAAGACAGGTGTTTCTTCGTCGCCAATGATTAAAGGTATGTTTATACAGTTTTCTAAAAAATAATTGCCCTTAACAACAGTTTAAAAAATACAAAAAAAAATATTTCAAACAAAAACGCTTACTAAAATCTTTGGCTTTTGTTATATTTCCTTTAGATTGTTGCCATAAATTTGTATTTTCTGTAATACTTTTAATAGTTCTGAATGATCCTTTAATTTCCATTTCCTTTACATTTACATCACACCATGGGTAAGTGTGAGTGGATGAATTTGACTGAAGACCAAGGAGAATCATAATAAGCTTAAAGTCAGCGGCAAAAGTATAGAAACAAATTCCACATATGGACTGCAGATCTAACGTCTCAAAGAGGCTTTTAATGTTAGCATAAGATTCAGACAACTTTGGTCCTAAGCCAATTATGAATTGTTTATTAATTCCAGCACTTTTATATTTCTTGAAATATTCGGGATCATTTTCAGGGAGCACATTCAGACAAACTTTAAGTGATCCACCACCACTATCAATGCCAATTTTTAGATGAAAATCTTCAGGTAATTCTCTAATTTCCAAAATATATGATAGAAGACCAGATAAATCTAAGCAGTATACAAAAATTAATATTAACTGAATTAACATTTTTCCTATAAATTATTTTTTAAAATGTGATTTTCTGAACTTGAATTCTAGTTCAGAATGCTACCAAAATAGTCTTTTACGATGTATTTATTGTTATAATAGTCCACGTATTTAAGATTTGTGTTGTACTTAGCTTTAGTTAAATTTAGCGATAAAACCACTTAGTTAGGGAAGAGTTATAATTATTCTAACTTATTAGTTAACATTTTTATGCAAAATAAAACATATAGCTGTAATATGATTTTTTTGACAAATTATTGTTTCAGTTTTTGGTCTCAAAATTCAAAGTCACGGTACGGTTTTTATTTTGAATCATATAAAAACCGAACAGTGCAGGTTTATAGGCTTTAGTGTCAATTTCAAAATGATGACGTGTATCGGAAAATGCTTTGCGATTCAGATGTTTTGAGGCACCACTACTGCTTTTCCGGTGTTTCAAAAACATTGAAAAAATTTCCCTTGTTAAGATCTATCCATTCTCTGTTTTCTTCCCTCGTCTTCGAAAATTGCTTGTTTAAGGAAAATTCAAATTAAAGGAAAATATTCGGCAAGCGCGTACAACAGAGTCTTCCTCCTACGCCAGCGCCATCTAAAGTAATTTTAGCTGTGTGGCGAGATGTTTGTAGCGATTAAGGCGGGCAAAGATACACACACAAAGACACATACACCTCTTGGAAGGCGTTCGTCAAACACTTTGGAGAGTCCAAATATTTGACGATAAAACAGCAATCATCGCCGACAAGCAAATATTTAGGGGAGGAACGTTCAACAGAGGACAAATTCCAAATAAATCGCCTTTAAAAGTTTTTTTGAATTCAAAATTATTTAGTTAAATCGAATTAATTCATTTTTTCTCATAGCAACTAGCAACTGTTAAAATTACCTTATATCTATCAAAAATAGTAGGTGAAATAGTACTTTAATCGCAATGATATAGTACAATTCTTTTAAAAGTTCCTCAATATGGCCGACCTAATTACGAAAATTGGTAAATTTTTTTAATGAAAAATAAGTTGGCGTTAGGGAATTCAGAAATTGATTTAGTCTGTGGTTAACAATAACATTTTTCACGATTGTCAAGTTGACGTTAAAGTTAGGTTATTAGGTGGTTGTCATAAATAAAAAGATAGATTATTGAAATTATTTAATAAGAATAAAGTTAATATTTTACTTAAAGGTATTTTATAAACTTTCTCAGTGAGAATATTAACTCCCCTGTTTCTTATATTTCAGTTAAAGGGACGTAAGAATTATAGGAAGTGAATTTTGTTTTCATGTTTTGACGATATCTGAGAGTTCCTAGAATTATCAAGATTATTGAATAATTATAGTTGTTTAATAAATGAAATTAATAGAAGACTTGGAAATAGGAGATGATGCGTTTCATGTTATAGTTTATAGATCACCTCATTTCTCTTAATTTGTTTTGATTTTAGTACAGTTAATGACAAATTGAATTGCAAAAACAGCTATATATTTTCAAACATCTTATTTAAATAGTTCTTTTATATACTGTTAAACTGTATCAACTACAAAGTCTTTAGCAAAAAGTTATAAGGTAATAAATTTTGTATATATAATTTATGAAAATTTATATATAAAGATTAGAACAAAATCCTCTGAGGGAAAAAGAAATATTCAAACACTTATTAAATATACTTTATTAAAAATAACAACATACAAAAACATCCATGCAAACTGTAATAATCAAAACATTATCCACATTATACCTTTATAAAATTTGTGTTCACACTCCTGTCAGGAAAGCCAGAAATGTTTGTTTAAATATTAACTTATTTTAAATTGACAGAAACACATCAGAATATGTCAAAACCACAACTATAGGTTTGGAATCAGTACTAAATTTTATACCTAGTAAGTAATGTGTCAACTAATAAGTATAGGATAAAAAAGAATTATTAATATAGAGTGTACTATACAATGTCCTTCTGCTTATTTATGAAATTACTTTCCTTTCAAATGTGAGGAATACCAGTAAAATAAAACATAATTTTTGGTTTGGTTTGGTGTTTGATATTCTAACCACATCTATTACAAACCTTAAGTGCTTTTAGTGAGTAACTGTATTTTTTATTATTCTTTGTGTATCTTGTAAAGTAAAAAAGAAATATATCAAACAAATTCATAAAAACTACTTTCAATTATTGTACACATTATATATTTCAAGTGTTATTTGATCTTTGGTCCCATTACTAACATTACCTTATTTATAGGTCTTCTCTACTAACTCAACTTTTAAACCTGCGAATTTTGCGATCTTGAATGCTGATTAACCAATCGACAAATTTCGCGATATCGTCTGCTTTTTATAAGAGGAGTTAACGCAGTTAAAATTTGCAATCACGGATGCTATTTAAAAGAAAACTGCTCTCACTTCTTTAGACTGTCTTCCGTTTTACCTTTAAAGCAAAACTGAAAAGGTATGCAGACAGGGCTTAAAACAAGAGCAAATACGTAAATTTTCGTAATTCCAACAGGCGTTTTTCTTGGTTTGCGTGGATAAATTGTTCCGAAGGTGATTTAACCGGGTTTCAGGTGGCTGAAATTACAGAAAACTGTAATGAACGTGCGCTAAACTCCGGAACTCGGCAAACCGAAGTAATTTAATCTGGCAAATGGAACAAAACTGGATATTCGTACGGCCTTAAACGGAAAGACAAACAGTTATTTGGTAAGTTATTAAGGCGCAACGGGCCCGGGAGAGTTAATTCTGTTAGAACTGTGAAGCAAACAAGCGAAAACGGACGAATACTAGAAGAAAAATCGTCTTATTTGGTTGGGTTTATCAGATAATGGGTTTAAACAAGCATCATTAGCATTAAGAAGAGTGATAATCAGAGACGGCGTGTGGTTTAATTATTGGTGCCTAACTTTAAATTTTTTAATGTGGCCGTCCGTAGCTCCACCGGTAGTGTGTCGATCTGCGGGGCGGAAGGTACTGGGTTCGATCCCCAGCCAGTACGGTCGCTTTATTTATTTAAATAAAAATGTTTATTTATCTACATAGAGCGACCAAGAAGCCGCCACCTCAAGGAAGGCAATGGCAAACCACCTTGAGTATATTTGCCTTGTACAGGGTGTCCCACTAAGAATAGCTCTCAGCTGTATCTCGGAAAGTAGAATGTTTGTAGAATGACCGCTAGGGGCGTAACTGCAACAAAAAAATATGAAAATGGAGTTTTTACACAATTTTGCCTAGATAAGGTGTACTATAAGTAATAGCTTCATAATCTTCAGTAAATTTTGAATATTTTCTGTTAGAGCCATTTTTCCCTACCAAAATGAAGTGGTGAGGGAAGGTTAGATCTGTTTTTATTTAAATATAATAACTCTGGACTGGATGATCGGAATCCAACGAGCGAGGGCTCGTTTAAAAGAGCGTTTCTTACTCTATATTGTATCATATAAACAATAATAACAAGCTTTTGAACGTAGACGCTAGGGGGCGTTCTCTTACAATTTTACAAACATTGCGCGTTTTTTCAAAAAAATTAAATGCAATAGTATTGTAGTAGTATTATGACAAATTTGACATTTAAAACAAGCCCTACTCAATAGATGGCGCCACTTCTGTAGGACCATTTTTCAGTATGGCAGAGTCCATTCTTTTTCTAGCTAGGTATATTCTTTGGTATTGATATTTAGAAAACGTCAACATTTGACGTTTCCAGTATTTTACCAAACCGTTCCGTATCAAACCGATATTTTCTGGTCTGGTTCGCCTGGTTTTGCAACGGAATACAGTCTAATCAACGGATACGGCTGCCAGATTATTAGGCTCATCATATATTTAATCAAAACCTAATTTTTACGTATATTTATGAATATATAAAATAAAATGAACTGCAAGAAAACCGTTATTAAATTTAACGGAAATTTTTGCTTAAAGAATTTTGTATTTTTTGTTATATTACTAAACTGATACAACAATGACGAATTCATCTTATACCAACTCGTATATTCTCGAAAATATTTCGTTGTTGATCAAGTTGACTCAAGCCTTAAAAAAACATATATGCATACGAAAACAGATGTTTTGCTTACATCAGACACGTACATCCTACTTACAAAGTTACTTACAAACAAACGATAATATTCATTAAATTATTTAATTAAAACTTTTATCAACTTAAATTTCATTCACAAAATATACTAAATTCTTTTTAAGTTTACCTAGTATTCCCATTGTTGCATAATTTTGCAAGACTTAAGATTAAAAGCCGAGATGAATAGAAAAGGTTTTAAGAATCTAAATATAATTTTTTTGGATTATTAAAGCTTGCTCTACACATAAGGTTTTACCTGTCAGTCAAGCGAAAAAAAGCGAAAACACTCCTCGAAAAAGAGGAGGGTGGGGGAGTGAGAACCTCTCACCTCTGTTCTGATTTTTCGCTTAAATTTTTTGAAAATTAAAAAAATTTCCAAAATTTTTTTTTAAAAAATTCCATATTTTGAGGAAAAAAGAATTTAGACGTGTTTCTTGAGTCGAAATATACTACCCCTAAAATATTTGCACTTAATTAAGACTCACCTTGTATATATTGACACGCAAGACTGACAGGTAAAATGTTATGCGTATAGACGGAGCTTTAGCTTTAAAAATGACGTTACATTGTATCGATATTGAATCATCAACAGACTGAGGTATTGATTGTGGCCAAACAGTTCAATGTTTAGTGATTTATTTTTAAATATTTGGCTACCTAGGGCATAAAAGAAAACCCAAACGATTTGGAGACAGTCAAAGTGATCAGTTTTCAGATTAGAAAGTTAAATACACTTATAGAAAGCTATATAATATGGCGCTTGCTGGTACATACGAGTTGGTTAAAAGTGAAGGAGTAGATGAGTTTTATAAAGCCTTGAGTAAGTGTTTTAGATATATTAAGTAGTTACAACTTTTATGCACTCAAAAAATAACACATAAAAATAAAAAACTGCAACATTATACTTAGATTTATATAAACATATATTATGACACACAATTAATGTTGTATTCGCTAAGTTATTATTCTTCTCCAGCTCATCTCATCGCATCAGTCATTACATTACTATACAGGGTGTGCCAGAAATAAGTGCAAGTATTTTAAAAGGTGGTAGATCTCGATAAAAGAAAAATATATTTTCTCTTTATCGTTTTTCAAATAAGTCCATAATAACGGAGTTATTTTACTTTGAAAATTTCCAAAAAAAATGATTTTTTGCTCAAATTTTGAGAACCACTGGATCTTTTCTGGATTTTCTTTCTTGTACATTTAATATACAACCTATGTATGTTGCCATATTATCAAGAAATTATGTTTTTTAACTAAAAACTAAAAAAAAATTCCGAAAAATTTTGCTGATGTTAGATGCACTATTTTTTTGACACCCTGTATAGTCTGTGCAACAAGAGGATAAAAAGGGTTTATTTTATATTTTAACATATTTATATTTTTTATATTGTCTAACAACTGTTATACTATTAAATAATTTTTTAGTTTTGATCTTTCTTTAATTGTGTTTAGCTAATAAAACCCCGGAAAAAAAGGTTCAACAGTCAAAGAAACTAGAAATTGCTATCAACGGGGACCAGGTTACTCTGGATTGCGGCGCTGCCAAAACCAAAGCCACTTATACTTTGGGGAACAACGCTGAAGGTTGTGGCAGTGGAAGTGCTAAAAACGTTAGTATAATTATACAGGGTGTCCGTTATTTACAAAGTTGATCATTTCTCTCACGACGCCCTCTAAATTTTTAGTTTATTGTCTAAAAAAAATATAACAGACCACTGTAAAACCTTAATATTCACAATAAACCTTGCCCCAAAGACGCTTCATTTTCCATTTAAATTATATTGAAATTTGCCACTTTTTGCAAATATATTTTTTTTCTCCCGATATTGTTCTCTCGCAACCATAACAATTACATGTGCTTATACAGAATTGAACGTTCTACAAAAAAGGCCTCTTACAATTTTTCGATAAACCTACTCCTTTAAAAGTTATCCACGGTTAAAGTTAACAACTCGGTGTTATTTAATAATTAATTTTTACCCTCCAATCCAAGAAACGTACTTCTTCAGCTAATGGTAAACAGCTGATGGACACATGCCATCCAGTTCGGAAGGACACAGTCAAGGCAAGTTTTCTCGTTATAATTCGGTTTTAATATATTCTTTTGATGATAATAATGTCATTTAATAATTAATCTTTACCCCCCAATCCAAGAAGCGTACTTCTTCAGCTAATTGTGAACTGCTGATGGACACATGCCATCCAGTTCGGAAGGACACAGTCCAGGAAAGTTTTCTCGTTATAATTCGGTTTTAGTATATTATTTTGATGATAATAATGTCATTTAATAATTAATCTTGACCATCCAATCCAAAAAACGTACTTCTTCAGCTAATGGTAAACTGCTGATGGACACATACCATCCAGTTCGAAAGGACCCAGTCCAGGCAAGTTGTCTCGTTATAATTCGGTTTTAATATATTCTTTTGATGATAATAATGTTATTTAATAATGAATTTTTACTCCTCAATCCAAGAAACGTACTTCTTCAGCTTCTGGTAAACTGCTGATGGACACATGCCATCCAGTTCGGAAGGACACAGTCCAGGAAAGTTTTCTCGTTATAATTCGGTTTTAGTATATTCTTTTGATGATAATAATGTCATTTAATAATTAATCTTGACCCTCCAATCCAAAAAACGTACTTCTTCAGCTAATGGTAAACTGCTGATGGACACATGCCATCCAGTTCGAAAAGACCCAGTCAAGGAAAGTTTTTTCGTTATAATTCGGTTTTAATATATTCTCTTGATTATAATAATGTTATTTAATAATTATTTTTTACCCTCCAATCCAAGAAACGTACGTCTTCAGCTAATGGTAAACTGCTGATGGACACGTGCCATACATTTCGAAAGGACCCAGTCCAGGAAAGTTTTCTCGTTATAATTCGGTTTTAATATATTCTCTTGATGATAATACTGTTATTTAATAATTAATTTTCACCCTCCAATCTAAGAAACGTACTTCTTCAGCTAATGGTAAACTGCTGATGGACACATGCCATCCAGTTCGAAAGGACCCAGTCCAGGCAAGTTTTCCCGTTATAATTCGGTTTTAATATATTCTTTTGATGATAATAATGTTATTTAATAATTAATTTTTACCCACCAATCCAAGAAACCTACTTCTTCAGCTAATGGTAAACTGCTAATGGACACATGCCATCAAGTTCGAAAGGATCCAGTCCAGGAAAGTTTTCTCGTTATAATTCGGTTTTAATATATTCTTTTGATGATAATAATGTCATTTAATAATTAATCTTTACCCCCCAATCCAAAAAACGTACTCCTTCAGCTAATGGTAAACTGCTGATGGACACATGCCATCCAGTTCGAAAGGACCCAGTCCAGGCAAGGTTTCTCGTTATAATTCGGTTTTAATATATTCTTTTGATGATAATAATGTCATTTAATAATTAATCTTTACCCCCCAATCCAAAAAACGTACTCCTTCAGCTAATGGTAAACTGCTGATGGACACATGCCATCCAGTTCGAAAGGAACCAGTCCAGGCAAGGTTTCTCGTTATAATTCGGTTTTAATATATTCTTTTGATGATAATAATATCAGTTAATAATTAATCTTTACCCTCCAATCCAAGAAACGTACTTCTTCAGCTAATGGTAAACTGCTGATGGACACATGCCATGCAGTTCGAAAGGACCCAGTCCAGGAAAGTTTTCTCGTTATAATTCGGTTTTAATATATTCTTTTGATGATAATAATGTCATTTAATAATTAATCTTTACCCCCCAATCCAAAAAACGTACTCCTTCAGCTAATGGTAAACTGCTGATGGACACATGCCATCCAGTTCGAAAGGACCCAGTCCAGGCAAGGTTTCTCGTTATAATTCGGTTTTAATATATTCTTTTGATGATAATAATATCATTTAATAATTAATCTTTACCCCCCAATCCAAAAAACGTACTCCTTCAGCTAATGGTAAACTGCTGATGGACACATGCCATCCAGTTCGAAAGGACCCAGTCCAGGAAGGTTTTCTCGTTATAATTCGGTTTTAATATATTCTTTTGATGATAATAATGTCATTTAATAATTAATCTTTACCCCCCAATCCAAGAAGCGTACTTCTTCAGCTAATTGTGAACTGCTGATGGACACATGCCATCCAGTTCGGAAGGACACAGTCCAGGAAAGTTTTCTCGTTATAATTCGGTTTTAGTATATTCTTTTGATGATAATAATGTCATTTAATAATTAATCTTGACCCTCCAATCCAAAAAACGTACTTCTTCAGCTAATGGTAAACTGCTGATGGACACATACCATCCAGTTCGAAAGGACCCAGTCCAGGCAAGTTTTCCCGTTATAATTCGGTTTTAATATATTCTCTTGATGATAATAATGTTATTTAATAATTAATTTTTACCCTCCAATCCAAGAAACGTACTTCTTCAGCTAATGGTAAACTGCTGATGGACACATGCCATCCAGTTCGAAAGGACCCAGTCCAGGCAAGGTTTCTCGTTATAATTCGGTTTTAATATATTCTTTTTATGATAATAATATCATTTAATAATTAATCTTTACCCTCCAATCCAAGAAACGTACTTCTTCAGCTAATGGTAAACTGCTGATGGACACATGCCATCCAGTTCAAAAAGACCCAGTTAAGGAAAGTTTTCTCGTTATAATTCGGTTTTAATATATTCTCTTGATGATAACACTGTTATTTAATAATTAATTTTTACCCTCCAATCTAAGAAACGTACTTCTTCAGCTAATGGTAAACTGCTGATGGACACATGCCATCCAGTTCGAAAGGACCCAGTCCAGGAAAGTTTTCTCGTTATAATTCGGTTTTAATATATTCTTTTGATGATAATAATGTCATTTAATAATTAATCTTTACCCCCCAATCCAAAAAACGTACTCCTTCAGCTAATGGTAAACTGCTGATGGACACATGCCATCCAGTTCGAAAGGACCCAGTCCAGGCAAGTTTTCTCGTTATAATTCGGTTTTAATATATTCTTTTGTTGACAATAATGTCATTTAATAATTAATCTTCACCCCCCAATCCAAGAAACGTACTTCTTCAGCCAATGATGAACTGCTGATGGACAAATGCCATCCAGTTCGAAAGGACCAAGTCCAAGCAAGTTTTCTCGTTATAATTCGGTTTTAGTATATTCTTTTGTTGATAATAATGTTATTTCGTTAATTAATTTCTACCCTCCAATCCAAGAAACGTACTTCTTCAGCTAATGGTAAACTGCTGATGGACACATGCCATCCAGTTCGAAAGGACCCAGTCCAGGCAAGTTTTCTCGTTGTAATTCGGTTTTAATATATTCTTTTGATGATAATAATGTCTTTTAATAATTAATCTTTACCCTCCAATCCAAAAAACGTACTTCTTCAGCTAATGGTAAACTGCTGATGGACACATGCTATCCAATTCGAAAGGACCCAGCCAGGAACGTTTTCTCGTTATAATTCGGTTATAATATAATCTCTTGATGATAATAATGTTATGTAATAGTTAATTTTTACCCTCCAATCCAAGAAACGTACTTCTTCAGCTAATGCTACAACTTTGTAAATAACGGACACCAAAAAATAAGTGTGTATATAATTATACACACTTATTTTTTTTAATCTAAGCAAATGAAACAAAGTAGTTTTTTTTTTCGTTTATATAGTATATTTAATATTATTTCATTTTACTAGGCTATTGCCAAGCTTTCTGGAAATGTCCTGATCGTATTGGACAAGAACGAACATGGACTAATACAACGGTCATATAAATTATCTGGATCCGAGTTGACTGTTGTAAGTCTTATTTTTCCATTATTTCTATTTTATTTGAAAATTTATTATATTTGTTGTCATTCTCTATTGTTTCTGTTTTATTTTTTATTACCATATTTTTGATGCTGATTTTTTTGTTCTACAGACTCTCACTAGCTCAAAGAAAGGAGTCCCGACAGCTCAGATAGTCTATATAAAGGTGAAATAGATTATAGTTCCCTCAACAAGACTTTTTTTAAAAATTTGATTGTATGTGAGTTTTGTGAAAAATAAATTTTAAATAAAATATAGCTTATTATTTCCGTTTAAATACAAAAAAGCCACCCTGTATAAGACATCGTACTTCACGAAAAAAAGAGATATTTTTACACAATTTCCACAGTTAGCAACCTGTAATTGTCTAACAATTAACATTACTGTTTGCATTAAACTTAAACATTAAACGATTTCAATTGTTTATAGTGCCACATCATTGTGTATTTGTTAATAAAAGTATTTAATCTGAGTAATACTGATAAGAGCTCGAGAGTGAGTAGTTTAAAAACGAGAGAAATCACAGGGATCGGTATCAGCTAAAATGGGTCTGGAAGGCAAATACGAAGAAGTGAAATCAGAAGGCTTCGAAGCATTCTTCAAGGCACTTTGTAAGTTATTGTATTTTCTACTTTTCCATAGTTTCGGTTAATAAGACAGTAATACATTTTTGAACTACTATACAGGGTGTTTCAGAAAGCATGTGCCATCTCTCGTGGGGAGATTCCTCACGTAAAAATAAAATATATTTTTTATATCAGCATAGAATCCAATTCTGCCTTGATTCGCAGCTACAGGGAGTTAAAATCTTATTTTTTTTTCAATCTATACTAATATTATTACATTCTAGGGTGTAGAGGTTCGATAAGAAGGGATTTTTCGAAATTCCAGCTCCAAGAGGGTGAAACCACCCCTCAAATATTACAATATTTTTTATTTAATAAACGTTCAAGTTTCCGAAAAAAAAACGCTTAAACACGTATATTTTATTTTGTTTTTTTACATATTTTAAGAATTTTTAAAAATGTATACAGGGTGTTTCGAAAAATCTGGTCATTGATTAATCGCGATCCTGCTTAAAGCGCTTGACGTAAAAGGCTGATTTTTGGAAAACAGATTGACTTTAGGGTGTAGAGGTTCGATAAGAAGGGATTTTTCGAAACTCGAATTCTAAGGGGGTGAAACTGACCCTCAAATATTAAAATATTTTTTATTTAAAAACCGGTGAGTTTTTCGGAAAAACTCTTAAACATGTTTATTTTATTTTGTTGTTTTACATATTTTAAAATTTTTTATAAATTTATACAGGGTGTTTCATAAAATATGACCATTGAGTAATCACGATTCTGCTTAAACTGCTTGACGTTTAAAGCTGATTTTTGGTAAACGGATTGACTGTGGGGTATAGAAGTTCGATAAGGAGGGGTTTCTCGAATCTCAAATTCCAAGAGGGCGAAAACGCCCCTCAAATATTACAATATTTGTTATTTAAAATACGGTCAGTCTTTCGGGAAAACGCTTGGACAAGCATAATTTATTTGTTTTTTTTACATATTTTGAAATTTTTTAAAAAATCATACAGGGTGTTCCAAAAAGTTGGGTAATTTCTTAACCACGATTCTGCTTAAACTGCTTGACGTATCCAGTTGGTATGTTAATGGAAATTCTTGCTTTGCTTTATCATTACCATTACAAATGATTAATTCGACGCGAACGAAGTCGCGGGTACACGCTAGTCTATTCTATAAAATCCGAGATTGTTTTTATTTAATTTTGCATATTATTCAGATAAGCGATTGAAAAGAATTTGAGGTATGTCGATAATAAAATGAGATGATTATAATTGAGGTACAAGTGTTTTTCACACAAAACTACAAGTGTATTAATAGATTTTTATGATGACTTTGATAACAATATAAAATATATATATATAAAATTCACTACTTATATTTGCATTTTATTTACATTTTTAAGTATAATATTACTCTACTGACCTCTTAACCATTTCATATCCTTACCTATTTTTAATAAAATAGCAAAATATCTAAACAATCAAGTTAGGATGCAAATATCTTGCTGTAGCAAAACCCGCAATATGCATCATACTGCAACAAAACCAGCCTTATTTGAATTATTTTTGTGTTTATCCACATTAAAAATTAAATATTAATTTTTATTTCTACAAAAACGACATACAAAACAATCATTCCACTCAATAGACACGTTTTTTTTTGTAAAATAACACTTGACGTCTCGTATGTAATTTTACTCACTTATCATTCTAAATTTTTTTTTCTAAAAGTAATAAATACATTATTTTTTTATGAATTTGCAGCTGCTGGAAGGCCAGAAGGTCAGCAACCACGCGGCCCACCCAAAACCCCAAACAAAAGTCTGTCAATTTCTATAAATGGCGACCAGGTTACAGTTGACAGAGGTGAGGAATTCAAACCTACCTACACCTTGAACAAAGAAGTTGATGTTCAGGGATTAGGAGGCAAACCTGTAAAAGTAAGTAATTCTGACAATATGATGACAGTACAGGTCAAAAAAAAACGATAAAATAACGTATAATACTCAAGTTTTTTTCTTTCTCTATTTTTCTGAACTTGGAAAGCCTTCTTCTTTTTCTTTTACTTATTTGAGATCTTTCTATCTGTTAATTTTAAGGTTGCTTCTGTAGGAGTTCTTGCGAGATGGACTGCCAACTGTCTTTCCATCTTTTTGGAGGTCTTCCCGGCTGTCTCTTACTCATGGGTTTCCCTTCAAGGGCTTTTCTTCCATGTGTTTTACGTGTGCGAACCATTATCTTTTTCTTTGCCTACCCCATCTCACTACGTCCTGTATTCCACATCGTTATCTGATATTTCTGTTTCTAATTCTGTCTCTTCTAGTCTTCCCCATTATGGTTTTTCGGTTCTTCATTTCAGCGACTCTTAACATGCTTTTGGTCTTGTTTGTTTCCTCTAAGATTTTTATGCCATATGTCATTATTGGTTTGATGCAGGTTTTATAAATTTTAATTTTGCTGTCTGTTCACATGAAGGGGTTTGTCCACACTATTTGTCTCGGACATCCTGACATGGCCGTTGCTCTGTTTATCTGGCTTCTCAGATCTTTCTCTGGATCATGGTAGTGCGACATATCTATTTCTAGGTATCTGAATTGTGATTCTTGCTCAATAATTTTGTTTTCTACTACCAGTTTGCATCTTACCGGCTCTTTAGAGAAAGTTAAGCATTTAGTTAATAATTAATATTTATATTTATTATATATAATAAATATATAATAAATATAAATATTTATTATACAGGGTTGTTCACCACATACGACAAGGAATATTGTAGCTAAACGATTAGATTTTTACAAATTGTAAATTTTGGGTTCGTTGAAGGACTATTAGAGCTACAATTTTAAAATATTTTTACAAGTTACAGAGTGTCCCAAATAAATAAAAAATATCAAAGTTGTATTTTTTTAAACGGAACACCCTGTATATTATTACATTTCTAGTTTCTACGATTAAAATAAAGGTAAATTTGATTAAGGTTTATTACACATAAACCTTACCGTTTTTGAAATATTTTCAATTTTGTGAAATTGCAGTATAAATTTTAAGGCTTCATTTCTCCGAGGGTATCAAAGTTTTTAATGCTAAATATTTACTGAAGTTTATTTATTGATCAGTTATTGTGTTGCAATAATAAAAATTTTACTGCCTTATACAGAGTGTCTAAATATTTATTTTAAATAATTATTAGCTTTAAACGGCAATAACTTGTTTAATTTAAATGGAACACCCTGTATATTTTATAAGAATCAGATGCAGAATTTAATTGTCTATCAAATTGTATGTCTATTAAAAACTGAATTATTTATGTGTATTAGACAGTATGGTAAAAAAACTAATGCCTTAAAAATGATGTTTCATTTTTTGACAAATGCTTATTTATAACAACAGAGACTTTCATTTTCATAACTTATTATTATATTGATATCTGATTCAAATCCACATTTATTTAGAATAATTTATTAACGAACACAATTAAGTATGTAATTAATTAGTATTTGGGCGGAAATACTGGTGGTATATTTAATTAATGGTATACTCTTTTATAAAGATTTAAATAGTTCTCTTTTTGCATACAAATGGACTAGTAATATCATCGTTTTACTAAAAACGATAATATTACTAGCCTGTACATTTTGTACATTTGTTGTTTTAAAAGCAATCTAAAATGTCAATATTCCATGGGTATATTGATAAATGAGGTCTAAATTATAAGAAAATGCATTTTCTACGAAAACTTGAAGGGATAGGTAAAAAGTGGAATAATACATTTTGATAGACAATTAAATTGTACATCTGATTCTCATAAAATATACAGGATATTCCATTTAAATTAAACAAGTTATTGTCGTTTAAAGCTAGTAATTATTTAAAATAAATTTTTAGACACTCTGTATAAGGTAGTATAATTTTTATTATTGCAACGCAATAACTGATCAATAAATAAACTTCAGTAAATATTTAGTATTAAAAACTTTGATACCCTTGGAGAAATGAAGCCTTAAAATTTTGACTGCAATTTCACAAAATTAAAAATATTTCAAAAACGGTAAGGTTTAAGTGTAATAAACCTTTATCAAATTTACCTTTATTTTAATCGTAGAAACTAAAAATGTAATAATATACAGGTTGTTCCGTTTAAAAAAATACAACTTTGATATTTTTTATTTATTTGGGACACTCTGTATCTTCTAAAATTATTTTTAAATTGTAGCTCTAATAGTCCTTCAACGAACCCAAAACTTACAATTTGTAAAAATTTAATCATTTAGCTACAATACTCCGTGTCGTATGTGGTGAACAACCCCGTATAATGATAAAGATAATGGCTGCATCATCAGCGTAACACACAATGCTAACTCTGTTGTGTCCCATTTGATAACCGATATTCCACCTTTCCACCTTTTCTATGATGATGTCCATTAAAAGATTGAATAAGAAGGGACTAAGGCCAATGCCTCCTGGTGTTGGTATGTCTCCTGTTAGATTATTACCTGCGTTCGCTTATATAATAAAAACAAAATAAAATATTTATATAAAAATTTATTGTATACTTTTTTATATAGTATCTTTTATTTGAATTAATTTATTATTTTCTTTTAGACCAAGGCAGCCCTAGCTGGTGACCAGCTCACTGTGGAATCGACTGACGAAAATGGTACTTTCAAAAGAGTATATGCCCTGGCAGGTTCAGAACTGACAGTTGTAAGTATTTTATTTAGTACTGGAATCAGTCGAGTAGAAAAAATTAAACTCGGTCGCTCGAGTATTCAAATCCTCGGTATGTGTCGAGGATTTTTGGGGATCCTCGAGGATTACTCGGCACGAAATTGTAACAACTAGTTTTGTATTATTAATAATTTGTATTTCATTTTCTAGACTTATTCTTCTTCCAAACCTGGCGTCCCCCAATTTATCAGAGTTTTCAAAAAGTTGTAATTTTTTTTATATCCAGCTTTTTTTCTTAATTTTGTGCTTTATAAACATGTTGGATATTCTCAAAATATAATATATTTTACTATAAAGGTGTTTTTTTTCTAAAATTCAGATAAATTCAAACATGATGAAAAATAATGTTATAATTTATACCAAGTGATTTTTTGGCATTTTTTTATTAAACTATCTAATACACATTTGAAGTTACCTCATGATACTTTTTTGTTTTTCTAATAATATTTTTTTATTTTTAGACATACTCTTCTTCGAAATCTGGCGTTCCTCAAGCCACCAGAGTCTTCAAAAAATTGTAATTTTTCAATAAGCATCGACTTACCTCAATTTTGTGTTGTATAAATGTGATAAATTTTCTCAAAATATAATTTATTTGGCTATAAAAATGTTTTTTTATGTATATAAAATTATTTTTTTCCATAGCAACTGTTAAAATTGCCTAATATCTATCAAAAATAGTAGATAAAATTGTACTTTAACCACAAGGGTAGATTAAATGATACTTTAACAGCGAGGATATGTTAAAAACATTATTACTTCTCGCACGCTTTTTAATTGCTTCCATTTTTGAAATTTTTTGTATTCCTTTTCATAAGTTATTCGGGATTTAAGTGGAAGTAGTTTGGATATGGAATTTGTCGACTCAGCCTGAATATCTGTTGGTAATTTACTTATTTCGTTTTGAGCCATCACTATACCGAGCGAAAATATACGAAATAATATACATGTACTGATTTCTTTCGAAAATCGACATCTATGAAACTATGAACCCTTCCTGGACACAAACGGTACATTGTGAGACAGGAAATTCTAAAGAGAAACAAGCCCTATAACATAGGATACAACATTTTAATGAACAGTGCTTTCCATAAAATCAATAAAATGAAAAATATACGAAATAATATACATGTACTGATTTCTTTCGAAAATCGACATCTATGAAACTATGAACCCTTCCTGGACACAAACGGTACATTGTGAGACAGGAAATTGTAGAGAGAAACAAGCCCTATAACATAGGATACAACATTTTAATGAACAGTGCTTTCCATGAAATCAATAAAATGAAAAATATACGAAATAATATTCATGTACTGATTTCTTTCGAAAATCGACATCTATGAAATTATGAACCCTTCCTGGACACAAACGGTACATTGTGAGACAGGAAATTGTAGAGAGAAACAAGCCCTATAACATAGGATACAACATTTTAATGAACAGTGCTTTCCATGAAATCAATAAAATGAAAAATATACGAAATAATATTCATGTACTGATTTCTTTCGAAAATCGACATCTATGAAACTATGAACCCTTCCTGGACACAAACGGTACATTGTGAGACAGGAAATTGTAGAGAGAAACAAGCCCTATAACATAGGATACAACATTTTAAATGAACAATGCTTTCAATAAAATCAATAAAATGAAAAATATACGAAATAATATACATGTACTGATTTCTTTCGAAAATCGACAACTATGAAACTATGAACCCTTCCCGGACATAAACGGTACATTGTGAGACAGGAAATTGTAGAGAGAAACAAGCCCTATAACATAGGATACAACATTTTATTGAACAGTGCTTTTCATAAAATCAATAAAATGAAAAATATATGAAATAATATACATGTACTGATTTCTTTCGAAAATCGACAACTATGAAACTATGAACCCTTCCCGGACACAAACGGTACATTGTGAGACACGAAATTATAGAGAGAAACAAGCCCTATAACATAGGATACAACATTTTAAATGAACAATGCTTTCAATAAAATCAATAAAATGAAAAATATACGAAATAATATACATGTAATGATTTCTTTCGAAAATCGACAACTATGAAACTATGAACCCTTCCCGGACATAAACGGTACATTGTGAGACAGGAAATTGTAGAGAGAAACAAGCCCTATAACATAGGATACAACATTTTAATGAACAGTGCTTTCCATAAAATCAATAAAATGAAAAATATACGAAATAATATACATGTACTGATTTCTTTCGAAAATCGACAACTATGAAACTATGAACCCTTCCCGGACACAAACGGTACATTGTGAGACACGAAATTATAGAGAGAAACAAGCCCTATAACATAGGATACAACATTTTAAATGAACAATGCTTTCAATAAAATCAATAAAATGAAAAATATACGAAATAATATACATGTACTGATTTCTTTCGAAAATCGACAACTATGAAACTATGAACCCTTCCCGGACATAAACGGTACATTGTGAGACAGGAAATTGTAGAGAGAAACAAGCCCTATAACATAGGATACAACATTTTAATGAACAGTGCTTTCCATAAAATCAATAAAATGAAAAATATACGAATTAATATACATGTACTGATTTCTTTCGAAAATCGAAAACTATGAAACTATGAACCCTTCCTGGACACAAACGGTACATTGTGAGACAGGAAATTGTAGAGAGAAACAAGCCCTATAACATAGGATACAACATTTCAATGAACAGTGCTTTCCATAAAATCAATAAAATGAAAAATATACGAAATAATATACATGTACTGATTTCTTTCGAAAATCGACATCTATGAAACTATGAACCCTTCCTGGACACAAACGGTACATTGTGAGACAGGAAATTGTAGAGAGAAACAAGCCCTATAACATAGGATACAACATTTTAAATGAACAATGCTTTCAATAAAATCAATAAAATGAAAAATATACGAAATAATATACATGTACTGATTTCTTTCGAAAATCGACAACTATGAAACTATGAACCCTTCCCGGACATAAACGGTACATTGTGAGACAGGAAATTGTAGAGAGAAACAAGCCCTATAACATAGGATACAACATTTTATTGAACAGTGCTTTTCATAAAATCAATAAAATGAAAAATATATGAAATAATATACATGTACTGATTTCTTTCGAAAATCGACAACTATGAAACTATGAACCCTTCCCGGACACAAACGGTACATTGTGAGACACGAAATTATAGAGAGAAACAAGCCCTATAACATAGGATACAACATTTTAAATGAACAATGCTTTCAATAAAATCAATAAAATGAAAAATATACGAAATAATATACATGTAATGATTTCTTTCGAAAATCGACAACTATGAAACTATCAACCCTTCCCGGACATAAACGGTACATTGTGAGACAGGAAATTGTAGAGAGAAACAAGCCCTATAACATAGGATACAACATTTTAATGAACAGTGCTTTCCATAAAATCAATAAAATGAAAAATATACGAAATAATATACATGTACTGATTTCTTTCGAAAATCGACAACTATGAAACTATGAACCCTTCCCGGACACAAACGGTACATTGTGAGACACGAAATTATAGAGAGAAACAAGCCCTATAACATAGGATACAACATTTTAAATGAACAATGCTTTCAATAAAATCAATAAAATGAAAAATATACGAAATAATATACATGTACTGATTTCTTTCGAAAATCGACAACTATGAAACTATGAACCCTTCCCGGACATAAACGGTACATTGTGAGACAGGAAATTGTAGAGAGAAACAAGCCCTATAACATAGGATACAACATTTTAATGAACAGTGCTTTCCATAAAATCAATAAAATGAAAAATATACGAATTAATATACATGTACTGATTTCTTTCGAAAATCGAAAACTATGAAACTATGAACCCTTCCTGGACACAAACGGTACATTGTGAGACAGGAAATTGTAGAGAGAAACAAGCCCTATAACATAGGATACAACATTTTAATGAACAGTGCTTTCCATAAAATCAATAAAATGAAAAATATACGAAATAATATTCATGTACTGATTTCTTTCGAAAATCGACATCTATGAAATTATGAACCCTTCCTGGACACAAACGGTACATTGTGAGACAGGAAATTGTAGAGAGAAACAAGCCCTATAACATAGGAAACAACATTTTAATGAACAGTGCTTTCCATATAATCAATAAAATGAAAATATACGATCATATACGCTCCAATTCAATCAGCAATCGACACGAAAGAGAATTAAAAAATATTGACTCAAAACTGACAACTAAAGAGACATAGTTTATATTAAATATTTTTTAAATACAGGGTGTCCCAGAAATAAGTGCAAGTATTTTAACTAGTAGTATAGTTCAACCCCAAAAACACGCCTGAAAATTGAAAATTCGAAATTTTTTGGATTTTTTTTAGTTTTTAGTTAAAAACCATAATTTCTTGATAATTTGGCAACATAGGTATAAGATTAAAATTACAAGACAGAAAATCCAGAAAAGAACCATTTAAAACTCAAAATTTTAGCAAAAAATCATTTTTTTGGAAATTTTCTAAGTAAAATAACTCCGTTATCTTGGACTTATTTGAAAAACGACAGAGAGAAAATATGTTTCTTTTATCGAGATCTACCACCCCTTAAACTATTTGCACTTATTTCTGGGACACCCTGTATAATTTAAGAAAGTTATTAAATATTATATTATATTAATATTGTTAACACTGTCAAAGGACTTCACAAGTATAAATCTCCGGTACTAAATAGTTACCCTAAAATTTCCCGGAAAATGTTTAGAAATGTTAAAAATATATACCATTTAAATAGTAGGTCATGCTTACGTGACACTCTGTATAATCAAGGATTCTTAATATATTAGAAGTTTATTGATTTACTTGAAAACTTGATTTCAATAACTACATTCATCTCCCAGTAATAACACTACTACTTCTACGTGACTATACAGTGGTGATCATTACTATGAAGTTCCACTTTGCAGTTAACAGCACTTTGAGGGTTGTTTTGTCTTCGTATTAGTTAAGTTCTAAGCGCAGATCTTATAGATAATAAAGTTCTAAACAGTAAAGTGCTCTGCGATAATTAAATCCCGTGATAATGTGTACATAATACCACGAGAAATTATAAAGTTTTTCCTACAAAAAAGTACAGTCGAAAAAAAAACGGCGTCAAAGGCGGCTGAGGAATAACGATCGGAAATAATTTTGGCGAGGTCAAGCCCCATACTTGTAGGCCTCTCTCAGTTTCTTCCACTCGTTTCGATTCTGTGGTCTCCTCATCCAGTTCTTACCGGCTACGGTTTGGATATCATCAGTCAATCTTTTAGGAGGTCGGCCGACTGGGCGTTTTGCTAGGCGTGGCCTCCAGCAAAGAAGTCTTTTTGCCCATCTTTCCTCGGACTGTCTGGCCAAGTGTCCTGCCCAAGACTATTTAGAGTTAGCTATCCTCTCTACGATGTCCGTTATCCTCGTCTGTCGGCGAATGTCTTCATTTCTAACGTGGTCGCGAAGACTGATACCCATCATGGCTCTTTCCATAGCTCTATGGCTCACTCGCAACCTGTTCACACTTCGTGCCGT